ACCTTACACCCTTCCCTGTCATTATATCTAACCCCAACAACAATCTAGACTCTTGCCCCTGTCATCAATCTGAAAATGATTGAGACTTCCATCCTTCCAATTTTGGATAGGCTCGTGACGGATGATATTCCCAACATTAGATTCAATGTTGCAAAGTCATACTCCGTCATAATAGACACCCTTAGAAAACTTCCAGAAGAAGGGACTCTCAGCGAGGCCGATAAGTCTGGACAGGCTGTCACTCCATCCCCCCGTGGCCAAACTATCATCCAGCAGCAGATCCTTCCAAATCTTGAGAAGTTACAGCAAGATGATGACGTTGACGTGCGATATTTTGCAACCACTGCTGCTGGAAGTTATGGTGAAGTAATGCAAACATCCCCTTGAGCCCTATCCTGACATAGAAACAAAAAAGCAAAGAAAAGAAAAACGAGAATTATGCCACACCCTCCCACACACCACCCCTGAAGCCCCTATTTGATCTTTTCCTTCTTGTTGCTCTGTGTTATTCATGTCAATTCTTCTTGACTTCGCCCCTGGTAATTGAGATATAGTTCATCATTGAGTTGAGATCGTGTCTCTGGTTTGGGTTGAATCTGGGAATTGATGGCACTCATGGGCATATTAGAGCATGAAGTACCATATGCATCCACTGCTCGTTAACATGAAAAGAAAATAAATATAACACTAGTTTATCCTGTTTCCTGCCCTTGTCTTAATGTGAGATATCTTCGCCTTAACTTCAAAGCTAGAGGTATCCATTCATAATGTACAGATGCAAGTTAGAATACTCGTAATATCATGTATTTGAACGACAGTGGCTTGCTCTTTTGGGTAATTGAGGAACTTCCTTCAAGTGTTGATGTCCAACTCGGACAGACGGATAGAATCCCCCGTATTTATTGATCTTCAGTTTTCCTCAGCAGGGGGATTAAATGACTGTATCAAAAATAAGATACATCACTATCTACATACAAGCAGCTGGCTTATCCTATAACAAGGAAACTCAACAGTAGTATAGGTAAGCCACTCAGTAGCCAAAGGACTAATACATCAGGAGCCGAGTCCTGGAGGCAAATCCCTCCACGCTGTGGTGCTGGTACGGATCAGAGCAACCACCTCACAATGGCAATCTCATTTCATATTCCGCTGGCATCTGACGGCACCATTGCCACCAGCCTCCTGTGGTTTAAGGTCAAGGTGTCTTTCAAGGAATTGCGACTGACGTCGCTGAAGTTCCTTTAGTCGTTGTATGGGGTTCTGTAAATTTCCAGTATAAGTAGCTGGCCTGAAGGAGGGATATAAATGCATTAACCGTGAGACCCACCCATTCCGCCTGGTTAGGGACACCTTCAGCAGCAGGGAGTTCTTCATTTTCCCAGTGATCGTCCGCTGTTGAAGATGTGCTTGGCTTTCTCATGACTAGAGCTGGTGTAACGGCCGGGCTCGGCACGTCATGTTCTGGTGGATAATGCGTTTGACGCAGGTTCGATTTCCTGGCTGGAGATTTCAATCCAGTCGATGGTTTTCTCGCATGTGTTGATCCTGTAATGACTGATACGCCCGCACGGCGTGGCTTTTGAAGTGAGCGCATGTACTTTTCTATTTCTGGCATGTCGTCCCAGGCGTTGTTTCGGGAATACGACTCAAACCCGCCAGAGGAACTTGAGGAAACGCCTTGCCGAGCGGAAGAGATTAAAACCTCAGGAGCTTGGCTGGGTTCGGAATCCTCCCCTATAAAAACCCGCGTTGGGGCCGGAGCGCTCCGTTCCCACGGGAAGGCAGATGTTTGCCTTCGAACTGCAGGAGCTGTTGTTGGAACTTGATAGTACATGTCTTTTGGTGCCTCAGGGTATGATTTGGGAGGCTGGAAAAGGTCCGTATCCTTTGACATTGTGTAGATTTGTACGGGAAATGAAGCTGCTTCTGGCTTTGAATCCACCGGTGGCGGTGCACTACACATATTAGAACCTGCCGACAGGTTTTAAGGGGTGAGTTCTTACCGTGGTGCATCCCAGACTGCTAAGGGTGGAGAGAAAGTGCGTTCAGGGGGTTGTATTTTCGCAGATTTCAGGGCCACAGGCTCATCTTTCGTTGCGCTTTCATCGGCAGATTTATCTTCTGCTGTGTCCTTTGTTAGTAATGGTATTCCGGGTTCTTGTGACTCAATTGTTCCTCGGTCTACCGGCAAATGAGGAGGGTGAGGTTGTTGGGCGTTAACATCTACGTGGGGTATATAAGTTGGTATATTTGGTGGCTCTCCATGATAAATGGGGACCGAGATATGTTCTTCTCCACGAACATAGTGAGGCACAGCGCTAATCATCGGCTTGGGTGGCGCATGGTAGCTTGGCTGAGAGCCTTCTTCTAGGCCTGGGGTGTCAGCGGGCACGGGTTCAATGCTAACAACACCAGGTCTAGTAGAGGGTTCCTCTTGAGGCATGATATGCGAATCCAGGCCCTCCTTGCTCGGTGCCACCGCTTCATAAGTCCCTCCGACAGGCTCATGTTGATTTGTTCCCGTTGCTTGTGTGCGGACCTCGGTTTCTACATGTTTCTCTTTGCTCAACGCAGAAGTATCCGTTCCAAGGTCAGCTGGAAACTTGTGATCCGAATATGACTTCTCTTCAGGCTCTGAGGGTGAATGCATCGTTGTTTCCCAACCCTTCTTTTCAGGTATTGAAGTTTGCACAGATCCTATGCTATGGCTAATTTCTTTTGAGGCGGTTTGAGTCTGGTGATGACGATGTGGAGTGACGTATATAGGACCTCTCCTGTAATGACGGTCATACACAGCCCACCACTTCGCCAATAACTGGCCATATGGTGAATCGTGTGACGATGTACTTCTCCCAGTTCCCCACGGCTTTATAGGGCCGATAAAATGGACTAGTGAGATAGTGCTTTCGAAATACCGATATGCGGGTACGTATTGATAGTGTCCGCTAGGTGTACAGTTATACGTGAAGCTGAGTCTATCCCAATTCTTGAAATGCATGTTCAAGAGACCCTGATCCGCACCATCGAAACTTATACCGCGTTGAGCAAAGGCAAGGAGGGAATAGTAATCCTGGAGATTTGGCCGTAATACCATAACGCCAGTGTTGAAGCAATCAGGCCATCCAATATCTGGCACAGCAGCTATTGTCTTGACATCAAGTGTAAGAAGCTCATCAGGCGCTCGGAGGGCTATCACATCTGCGTCAATATAGACGATCTGGTCGTACTGGGTCTGCTTCCATAGAGCTATTTTCGAGAATGTTGATATTAGATCGGGGCGATCCATGAGGTAAAGGTTCCCAGGGTATGCATTTTCTATCCGGGGAATTGGTATCACATCGTCGTACACGGTCTATATATGGTTCTACTTGTCAGCAATACGAACTTGTTTATATTTTTCTTGTTCTAGTAAACGACCGACCTTCAACTCGTCAATTACCCCCGGCTGTAGAGTATCCGGCGTTACTAGTACGGCCAGCTTTCCCCTCGTCCCATTATCCCGCAGGGAATGGGCTAGGACCATAGCACCTAGTAGAAATCATCAACAAACAAACTATCATGAAGTAGGGCCAACCCTGCTATCTTATCACTGACCAGGAAGATAGTTGTCGCTCAGAAGGATCTATAAATCACCATCAGCAAGTCAGCACTCAGAAGGTAGGAGTTTATCTCGGTCGTCAGGCGGGATCAAACCGTGCAGTAAACAGCTCCATGGCCAGACATCGTTGCGCAACCCACGACGAGCTGCTTCCAAAGGCAGGCTCCTCCTTTCGTCTGATATTCAGCTACGGGAGACGGCAACCATTAATGAGCGTGATAACACAAAGCCGAAGGGAATAAGGCCGGCGAGGTAGACCGAGAGAGAGAGCGTGTGTATGTGTTTGCGTGAGAGCGTGAGAGAGGGGACAGTTGGTAAAGTAGTTAAGTTAGTTGGAGGTTGAAGCTGGTCCGTTCAAGTGATCACTTGGTTAACTATTCTGCCGCGCATCACCGGCTTAGGAGAGCTTCTTCCAACGTCACCCGACTTGCATCCTTTGATAGCAGAAGGGAATCAGGCCTCCTCCATAAGCTCACTCAGGATGCTGCAGGCCGGTGGTCAGAAGAGAAGACGAAGAGAGGAAGAAGAAGAGCCCGTGAGGTGGAGGACGGCTGGAGCTCCAAGAAACCAAGGACCAGTGCCCTCGCAACCTTTCCCGGCTTTGCGGCCTTTTAATCTCGTTCAACCGCATCCTTGCCAACCAACAAGCGATCCCTCCAGGCCTGCACGATACTGCATATGATAACAAGCGAGGGGGTATGCAGAAGGGCTGTACCGCTCACTGCTCGAGAACTGTTGCTTTCTGGCTGCTGGCTAGTAGCTGGCTGGCTTGGTAACTTCTCGTGGAGCTTGCTGTGTAGTACCAGCCGGCGGAAACGAGCCTATGTCTGTGTTACAGAGTGCCAGCAGTTAGCCCGTTTATTGCCTTGCCACAGCTTGGTACAGTTAAGATATATGCATCAGTGTGGATAGCTTTGATGGAGATTTTACCATCTCTTGCGGGCGCTAGCTAGTTAATATCAGCTACTCCGTACAGCCTGGCTAGTTATATCCACTTCGAAGCCAAGCTTGGCCTTGGGGGTTTAACCCGGGGAGCTGTTCTCTGTGCCTGGGAAGCAGTCACGATCATGTATGTATAGTTACATGCATTCCGATGAGAACTATATACTATCAAAATGGAGTACAGGTATTATACCAACGCCTGGAGAAAAAGCAAGGAAGTACAGGAATCGGAATAAGAACGCTCAGATCGCAATCTCTCCAACGACAACACCAAGCATGCTTCCTTCTGTCTCGCTCATATATTTTTTTTTTGGAATATTTAACTGCATATTGCAAGCTAATTGAAAGAACAGGTGGCCATAGCCCGTGTCAGGAGAAAGAAGATGATGCAACGATTCATGTAGTTTCGCAGCAGTTGTTCTTCCCAGCTATGGAGAGAGCTGTTTAACTAGTGATTGAGTTACTGGCGGGCGACCACTCTGGCTTCAGGGTACACAGACAAGACAGCTTGGCCAACATCGCCTGTCTCACCCTTGACGGCCCATAGCACTGTTTCTTCAAGGGCTCCTCGGCCCTCCACTTCCATGGGCGTGAAATGGCCGGATCGAGGCAGCACGATTACCTGACTTCCCTGGATAAGTCGATCGGCTATTCCATCCAGGGCCAAATGATTATCGATTGCAGGGTCTTTCATGCCCCATAGCATTGTGGCGTTTGCTTTTAGAGCCCCAGGGGCAGGGTCGAACACGCCTGTTCCGCAGCTTGTTCTCCGGCGTTCGTCAGGGCAGATGCTATGTAAAGCAGAGATGGTTTCCAGAGACTTATGCCAAGGGCCTGACACTGCTCCATGCCGGTAGTATGACGTTGTGTCCTTGAAGTTCCCTTGCTCAGCGCGAATGCGGACAGATTCAGAGTATGCCTCTCCCTCCGCCGTCTTGGTCTTGAGCTCTTCAATGCTAGGCCCAAGAGTGCTGGCCATGGCTTCTTGTGCATCTCGGACTGTAAATTCGGCGGTTTTCCCTGCAGCTAGCTCGTGGATCGCCCTTAAAAACGAATAGTTGCCTCCGTGACCAACATAGCGAACTAACGGTACGGGTAGGTGGAAGACGAATATATACTGGGACTTCTTCAGTTGGCGGAGTACTGGGGCTAGAGCCTTGATAGACTTGCACAACACATGCCGCGAGCGCCATGGTTCCCTGAGGAAAGTCTTAAACATCTTGTTCGCTGACTCGATCGATAGGTAGATATTGTCTTGCATCAAGCCGGGCTTTTGCCAGGGACAATACCTCATATTAGCAGGCAGAAAAGAAAAAAAAAAAAAAGAAGGAAGAAGAAAAGAACAGAAAAAGGAAATACTTGAGCATACCAGGACTCCATTGGAGATAATGAACCTATCTGCCAGCTGAGGGGCTTCTGCAGCTAGGCGAAAAGCGAGTATCGCTCCCCAATCATGAGCTACTATAATAACTCTCCTCTTCGTTTGGCCATCACCATCGTAGACTTTGTATTGGTCTCTCACGGTGACTATGAACTCTGTCAACGTCTCCAGGATTTCTGTAGGGCCATATACGTCCAACGAATCCGTGCCCCCGTATCCAGGTAGGTCCGGTGCAATCATCACGCTCTTCTCTCCAATTGAGCTCGACGAGAGGATGTGCCGCCATATGGCCCAGCTATCCGGGAATCCATGCAGGAATATGACCAACGGCAGGTTCCCAGTGTTTGAGGCGACAGTTTCATCAGGCGAGACATTTGCAAGATAGTGGACTTTGAACCCATTCCGCAAAGTCATAAACCGATGTGAGAAATTCTTCCAATTCTTTGAGAGATTCCAGAATCTATCTGATGCTGTGTCCAGAGAAAGTCAGTGTTAGCTATCAAAGAAAATAGCCACACCTGAAGGATCAATCATACCCCCTTATTTTTTTTCTCCCTCTGTGTATTGTGCAGTAACATGGAGGCTTCCGGGCAAAAGGGACGTTCACTCATACGAACCGAGTTGAAACTCCAACCGTTCCTTTTCAGTGGTTTGTCGAAACGGCACACCACTGAGGATTGCAGTGACTCCGTATAGCACCACCGTGAATATACCATATACGAAAGAAAAGATGGCCACCGCCATCTTCAAGACTGGATGGTCCATGCTGGCACCATTTGCCTCTGGCATCTATCAAAATATCAAAAGTAATCGTCTTGTAACCAGGACGGAGGGGGGATAAAAATATAATAAAAAAAATAAAATAAAATAAACAGCTACGTGGTTGTAGCAGGCGGGAAATGCGTCTCCTATAAACTAGTCCTTCAAAGCGGCTCTCAGATAACAAAGGATGTTATGTAAATGGTTATGTCAGGAGGAGCTTCGGCTATGGGGAAGTTCCGCATGGCCTTATCAGGTCCATTTGTTTCGAAGCAGCTTGCGGAGATGTGGCAAGGGGTAGGCTAGAAGACCAATAGCACGGCGGCGAGCAGGTCGTCGTAACTGTGATATTCATCCCTGAAGCAGGGCTCTTTGATAGAGATCAGCGAGGCTGGATTACGTTGTTGCTGCATGCAGAACAAGGATGGGAGAGAAGACGAGGAGAGCAGACGAGCAGTTTGAGAGGGCAGCGAGCGAGAGATGATGTCATACCCGTTGCGTTTCGGAGATTTCATTTTCCACCCAAGGGAGTTCTGCTTTATTGGTGTACGGGGGTCGAAAATACCGACGAAGTTGACGAGGAGACAGGCCTATTTGGAATGCATGATGAAAGCCATTCATCTAATGTAGAAGTGGTTGGTTACTCAGATGGCTTCATCGAGTACGTGTAGGCTGGAACGATTGGCAGCAGAGAAGCAAGCAAAACGTCATCAAGTCTAGTCAAATAGTAAACCGGGTATAGTCACCAAAAGCTAATGATACAAGGCTGTCGTTTGGTCCAAAGAAGCAGATAAAATAAATAACGAAGAAAAGGAAATGAAGTAAGAGCGAAAAGGGAGGAAATACATATATAAAGTTGCCTTCTAGTGGTCACGGAAAGAAAAGGGGGAAGGAAACCAGAACACGGGACAAAAAAAAAAAAAAAAAAAAAA